CAGAGTATAATGGCTCTCTTGGGCTCTGATACGGTCAGAATGTATCAGCGCAGACTGCCTCATTTATCTCCCTTCAGTCCAGCTAGTGGGTTCACACCACTGACCCTGCCGTCAGAACCAGCAGGGCTTCCAGCAGGTGGAAGAGCTCACACATGATGGAAAGAAGAGCCTGGACCCGTACTTCCTTGGTATATGTGTCTAAGTTGATTCTAGTCCTATGACCGTGAAAACGAATTTTAAAGCCCATGCTTGCCGTAGCTATTCTGAAGTAAGAGTCTAAGAAAGTCGTGCTTATTCTACAAATCTTTCGGCTGTTTTCTTTTTTCTCAATGTCTCTCTAAACCCTTGTAAGGTGGGAGTTCAAAAGGAAGGAGAAAGTTCTGAATAAAGACCCCGTACAGAGGCCTCAAGTTCAATATCAGTCTCTTCATCCTGTGCTAACATTTGGCCCTTTCCAGGTGCCATCAACTCTTACAGAGCACTGGGACAGAAGGAAACAGGAGCAGGTGAGGCTGAAGAAGAATACCAGTGAGATCAAGTATTAGAAAATACTCAGAAGCATAACCCGAGAAGCTGAGCTATCTGAGAAACACAGCGCCCCGTTTGAAGGCAGGCTCAAGAACAGCCTGCCCCATGAAGAAGACAGGTCCTTGTTTGGCGAAAGTGAAGGGGACCTGAAACACTTGCTCCTGAGGGTCACAGCCGACAGCTTTTAGTATGGCTTGAAAGAAGACAAAACCCACACTATTGGACCAACAGATAACATCCTAAGAAACAGAGAAAAGGTTGACGCTGTCAAGCATTTCAACTTGCTTGGACCCATAATTAAGGTCCATGGGAACAGCAGTAAAGAAATCAGATTTGTTGGGCAAATCTGCCGCACAAAGATCTCTTTGAAGTGTTCAAGGACAAAGATGGCACTTTGGGGCCTAAGGTGCACAGGATCCAAGCCATGGTATTTTATTTTCCTTTGAGAGGTGAATGAACAATTTTGCTACATGATTGTTTTTATCAAGTATTTTCATATTCTCCCCCTTTTTATTGTGAATTAGGTGAGGGTAAACGTTTACAGAGCAGGTTATCATTTTTGTATTCACCAACTTAGCAAATTTCCCAATGGTTTGCCCTGTTTCCATTATATTTTGCCCATCTCCCTCTTAGTGGATATTTTTTTCCTTAAGTGAGGAGCCCTGGTGGTGTAGTGGTGAAGATTGGGCTACTAACTGCAAGGTCAGCAGTTTTAAACCAGCAGCCGCTCCTTGGGAGAAAGAAAGGGCTAAAGAGTGAGTCTTGGAAACTCACAGGAGGAGTTCTGCCCTGTCCTATAGGGTCGCTATGACCTCACTGACTGGATGACAGTGAGGTGTTTGGTTTGTTTTGGTCCCTCAAGTTAACACTTGCTTATTGTCTAACCTACTTCTCCTTCCCTCCTCCCCCTCATCCCTGAGTAATGATCAAAGTCTGGTTCTTTCTTTCTTTTATTAAAAAATATTTAATTATGAATTCAATGTGGCTTACATTTCAAATAATCACTTTTAAAAGTCTGTGTTAATTTAGGTAAGTATTTTGTTTCTAGAAATGTGTCCATTTTTTCTGGGTTTTCAAGTTTGTTGGAATATAGTTCTTCCTAGCATTATGACCATTTTTACTTTAGATGGCTCTGTTGTGACGTCGCATCTTTCCTTTCTTATTCCTGATCTTCATGTGTTCTTAACTTTGACAGTTTTGTTAATCCTGTCAAAGAAACAACTTCTTGGTGTATTGATTTAGTCTACTGCTTTTCTGGTTTCTGGCACTTTTAGGTCTGTTCTAATCTTTATTATTTCTTTTCTTTTCTGGGTCTTAAAAGTTTATTTTGTTCTTCTTACTCTAACTGTTGAGGATGTAAAGTTAAAGGGAAAACTCTGGGTGTCTCTCCTTTCTTGATGTGTGCACTTACTGTCTCTATTACCCTGAGTACT